TCACAATTCATTTGGAGAACCTGTATCTCTTGCACACAGGAGCATGTAACTAAAGGCAAGCTTCTTACATCCTTATCCATTCTTTGGTAACTTAGCAAATTTCTACTTTGTGCAACTTGTTTTTCTATGATTTTCTTGATAAGACTGTTACTAGAGTACAAAATCTTCAGAATACATCAACTCTTATCTTAACGTGTGCTGGTTGCAGAAGTGGGATATTATTACTGTGTTGGCCAGTCCTCTTTGGCCAGGATTTTCTAGCATTTTAATTTTTGCTTTCAAATCCTAGCATGGTCTTGCTTTCTCTTATCTCTGAGCTCCTCTCTCTCCAGACATTCTTGTCTAGTGTGCTCTATCGATATATAACCTAAGGCTGTTTTACAATTATAGATACATTGCTCAAGGATTTTTATTTTTTTTTGTTACTTTGGATCACTTTCCCTGGTGTATTTATGGATGTGTGTTCAAGTTTGCATTAAATATTGACCTCTTTTCATGGGCTTTAGACTGATTTGTGTTTTAATGTATTGTAGTTATTTGGAGGTGGGTGAGGATTTTAAATAATGTTTAGTTCCAGGCTTTTCACCCTCTCCATGTCAAATCCATCCTAAAGACCCACTTTTTCTGTGAGGTCCACAAACAGCAAAAGTCAAATAACTCTCAGCTCCTCCTTCCTTTAAGTCCCCCTCTCTGTCCTGTTTTAGGATCCTGAGGCCATCTGTACGCCTGTTTTGTACAGCACCAACGTACCTTCAGCACTTCCGTAACATTTGGGGGTGCTTACATTATGATAGGCGTTTATAAAAATGTCTCTTGCAGTTGCTGCTGTGCTAAGCTATTGCTTTATTCCTCTCACATTTCCCCCTAAACATACTCCTGCAACCAGGTAGACAGCTCTTTAAATAACCCACTAACACTGAATTTGAAGTGATGTGAACTACTATAGAAAAATTGCTACCCACCCCTGTGTTCCTAGCCACATGCTTCAGAAGCTTTGGGACAGGAATCAGGAAAGCAGTATGGCACCACTTAGAATGTAGACACTTAAGTTTCAGTAGGGAAAAAATAGTTTGTGACTTAAGAAATCAAGTAAAAGTGAAATGAGACATTCTCCTCTTGGAAAACATAAACTGGCTGGAAAAAAAATCACAACTGCTTTTAAGTAAGCTTGCATCAAAATAGCTTTTTGTGTGTGCTGATTGAAAGAAAACTGTACATGACTTTCATTGGTTAAAATAACAATGTGTGCTCAGTTTTATTTTGCTTCCTTCCCACTAATGCTGCTTGAAATTGCTCTGGTGGGAAGGTGATTCTGCTTGACCTTTGTCCAGCGGGATATTATTGAGGCAAACAACCACCTAGTAAGTTTAAAAACTAGACCTTCTGTATAAGAACAGCCTCTGCAGTTTATACTTGCTGGGATAAAAAGGTTATTTATCTGAATGCTTCAGAGCATAAACTAATCACCAACTGGGGTCAGGAAGAAATTATCCCTTCCATCTTGAGTATAGCATTACATAAGTAGGGGCATCATGGATATTTTTCATCTTCCTATGAAATATACAGCCCTGGGCAGAGTTGGAGAAAGGATACCACATGATCAAGTCTGATGCTCCAAGAGGTAGAGTGCTGGTTAATAAGGTCCATCTTTCAAACATGGACACTTTCATTTTCAACAATGATTCATTTACACAAAGTCCTTTTCCACTGAGACTTTCAATCTTGCCAATGAAAATATCAAAACCTGAATAAGTCTGCTACCTGCTGCTGAGAGTTCCAGATATCCCGAGTTCACCTCCTCTTCTGCAGATCTTTATGGAATGGAAAATAGAACTATTACAGTTCAGCACGCGTCAGCAAAAAATGGTTAAAGTCCAAATTAATTTTGGGCCAAATCTAGAAGCCCTTAGTTGTTACTCCCGTTAGTCCCAACACTCCCAATGAAACGCGTGAACGTTTTGGGTAAGGACAGAATAAAAGCTAAATTGGGAATTCAGCATTTGGCCTGTCAAATGCAGCCATTCTCCGTAGAGCCCGACAAAATATAAATGCTTACCCCAATATTGATTTTATGTTCCTTCTCCTGTCACCATCTTTATAGAATCACCAATAAAATAGATACCTTATGCCAGATTAATTACAGCTCTAAATACACTGGCTTCAACCCATACATACTGCATTAACGCTTGGAAGTCCAGATGTGTAGTTCATGAGCACCAGACTTTTCTTTTTTTTTCCCAAGCCAGAGCTTGTTCATCTGTGTACATGGCGAGTCAGCTAACTTTATCCTCCAGCATCATTTCCTGAAAGAGAAGCACCATGGGTTTTTAATTGATTTGATTAAATAATAAATGATACATTCTCGTATCTCAGCCTAGGCAACATTTCCAGTCCATAAATCTAGGGCTTTGAAAGGAAGAGCTTTTAAATCGTGTATAAATTGCAGTAATTCCTCCACCTAAGGCACTGTTGTACAACAATGTTACATTATTAGTTGCTGTCTTCTAGCACTGAACAGGGAACTTCAATAGAATAAATAAAACATTTTTATCCCTTAAAGCTACCCTGTCTCCATCCTTGCTTCACTGTAGACTGTTTTGTACAGGAGCTTTCCCCAGCCCCTCACTATTTGGCTTCCTGCTACAGATAGGAAGAAACCTTCTCACAGTGCTTGGAGAGGGAGAATCTCTCCGTTTCATAGCTAGGCTTGTACCTTTGTTATGTCGGGGAACTATCTTACAACTTTTCTTTCCTTACATGACTACACATGTCTGTCTCTCTTCCCTGCTAGCCTTTTAAATAGGTAGAGCATGATTTTACAATAGTAACCCAAAATATTATAGTAGCACTACAATGAGATGCATTGCTTACGTCCAATACAAATAGACTATTGGTTGTTCTAGGTGTCCAGCATCTGATACTTCAGTCAATTAACAACGCTGGCAAATGCCCAGCCTCTTCCCTTCCACTTAACCCAGCCCACATCAGTGCAGCGGGCTCACATGTAAGTATACAACTCAAAGATATTCAGCCAAATTTTCATAAATGGCCACTGATTTGGGGTGACTACGTTTCTGGGTCCCCAACTTGCGACCTGGGGCCAGATTCCCAGAAGTGCTGGTCATTTGCAGCTGCCATTGAGCTAACTGGAGTCGAGGATGCCTGAAGAAAAGAGTACTTGTGGCACCTTAGAGACTAACAAATTTATTTGAGCATAAGCTTTTGAGGATGCCTGAGTACTTCTGAAAATTAGGCCCAAAGGGCATCTAGTTAGATGCCCCAAAATCAGTGGCCATGTTTGAAGTCAGTGTTAAGGGGGGATTTTAAACCTTTCTAGGTTCCAACTCCTTCACTTGAGCTGTAGATTTACCAACCCATGTTCAGCAAGGCAGATGCCTATGTGTATGGCCAAGCAGATGCACATGGTATGTCCTCAAGGTCTTTTGAAAGGAAAGTTTCAACATTAAGATGACAGGTCCTGTGTGTGCAAACAGTTGGTAACTCAAGTGAAAACTACCCTAAAATGTCCTGCTCTGTTGCATCCATGGCCTGAGCTATAAGATACAGTATATAACTGGTTGGAGAAGGTGAGTGCTAGTCCTGTATACAGTAAGTAGTACATTGTTAATTACACTCTAGGCCTAGGCACCATCTAAACACTGAATGTCCTGCATTATTTAAACATACAGTAGATAAACGGGTCCCTGAACTCCAGTATGATTTCATTTCAGAAGGAACCCTGCAGGTTTCTTTTTTCCTTAATCCAATTGCAACAGGGAATTAAAAGCCTAATTATTTTGTAAAGGATGGTGCAACATGCGCAGTCCTTCTAATCCCTAGGGAATTGCAGCTTCACATCACTTCTTCCTTGGGACAGCTGCCAATGCCACAGTTTGACTTGTAGGCCCAGATCCACCAAGCTACTCTGTGTGGATGGGCCCTGTGCTCTCACACAGCTCTCCTGACTTCACTGGTGCTCCCTGCAGGGTCAGGAGTCCACCTGTGTTGCAGCATGCAGGACTGGGGCCTTAGATTTTAAACTCCCTAAGCCAGGGACCTAGTATGTGAACTTGTTTGTAGCCTGTCTCATATATTTTGATGCCAGATAAATAATAATAGTGGATGAAATTCGCAAATGCAGATATTTGTACAGCCCTCTTAATGCATATCTGTACATTTGAAAATCTGATCCAATCATAATTTTGGTATTTTGCCAGATGTATCAATCCAAGCCTCTTTGTTCTACGCATCATTCTGGATAACTTGAAAACATGCTTGTTAGGTTTCTGGTACTTCCTGGTTCTGGCTTGGTTGGGAAAGACTACAAAACTGTCCTTTCTCTTATGGCTGTTTCTGCACTTTGATTTCAAGTTCTATATTGTGAAAACAAGAGACTGGTTCTAACTAAACTCTTTTGAACATGAAATAAAAATTGTATTGAAGTCTGTTCTCTGAAGTGGTTTCAAGGGATTATCAAGTATTTGAATCTTCTGACTTCTGTTTCTGTAATACATTGTGATGATGAGTCTAAAGCATATAAACGAATAAACTGTGAACATTTCCCTCAAATAGAGCTCCTTCTTTCTAATGCTGGTGTAAGGGTTCCCTTTTTATATGGCATTTACTTTCCATCTTAGCTCCGCTGCTGCCCATCAGAAGTTCCCCTTTAATTTGGTAGATCTGGCATTTGCACATGCCTCGCAGCGCCATAACCATTAAATATTTGGCTGCCTTTGGCAACCTTCTCCTCAGTCTTTGTAATGTATTTGGCCCCCGCCTTCTTAGATGCGTCCTGTTTGAAAGCCTGTGTTCCAAAAGCAGCCACGTACCAAGGGAACGCCGTATTGCTGAATGTGTTGATACTTTACAGGACGGATACTCAGAAGTTCCAAGAATTTCCCCACTATATCTTTAAGCAGAGCATGACCTTATATTTCATTTGATTGTGCTTTCCCTCCATTAACCTTTTATTCTTAACGCTGGTATCTTGCCATTCACAGACGATGGGAAGTTGTCCTTGGAGGAGTTCCAGGCTTTTTTTTCAGACGGGACTCTTAATGAAGAAGAACTTGAACAGCTCTTTCGTACCATTGACTCAGACAACACCAGGTAAGCGCATAATTCTTTGTCCATTTCTTTTCAACGGACATAGATTTTTTAGGACTCTTGATGTGCAACTGTTAAAGTTTTGCTTCTTAAAAGATCTAAACATGTGCAAGGTATACTGTGGTGGAATTCTTCTGCCAGCCTTGAGGGGCTTCATTTCTTCAAGGTTTGACCTCCCATGGTGAAGACCATTAGGGCTCCTTGTTCTCCTGGTATAAGTTCAACACACTTCCTGCAGCACAGCCTGTTTATGAAAATCTCTGAAATTATACATTTTGAATAATAGGGACAATCAGCTAACCTTTTGATTTTTTCCCTCGTTTCTAGAAAGTTTTGCTAGGGCTATCTAATCTAGCTATCCTGATCTGTCTGTGAGTTTCTAATGCAGTTGTTGTTAGAATCCTAGAATCATAGGCCTGCAAGGGACCTTGAGAGGTCATCTTGTCTGGTTTCTTGCACTCATGGCAGGACTAAGTATTATCTTGACCATCCCTGACATGTGTTTGTCTGACCTACTCTTAAAAATCTCCAATAGTGGAGATTTTACATCCTCTCTAGGGAATTTATTCCAGTGCTTAATCACCCTGACAGTTAGGAAGTTTTTCCTAATGTCCAGCCTAAACCTCCTTTTCTGCAATTTAAGCCCATTGTCCTATCCTCAGAGGTTAAGAAAAACAATTTTTCTCCCTCCTCCTTGTAACAACCTTTTATGTTCTTGAAAACTATTATCATGTCCCCTCTGTCTTCTCTGCTCCAGACTAAACAAACTCAGATTTTTCAATCTTCCCTCATAGGTCATGTTTTCTAGACCTTTAATCATTTTTGTTGCTCTTCTCTGGACTTTCTCCAATTTGTCCACATCCTTCCTGAAATGTGGCACCCAGAACTGGACACAATACTCCAGTTGAGGCCTAATCAGCGCAGAGTAGAGCGGAAGAATTACTTCTCATGTCTTGCTTACAACACTCCTGCTAATACATCCCAGAATGATGTTTGCTTTTTTTGTAACAGCCTTACACTCTTGACTCATATTTAGCTTGTGGTCCACTCTGACCCCCCGATCCCTTTCTGCAGTGCTCCTTCTTAGGCAGTCATTTCCCAATTTGTATGTATGTAAGTGATTGCTCCTTCCTAAATGGAGTACTTTGCATTGTCCTTATGGAATTTCATCCTATTTACTTCAGACCATTTCTCCAGTTTGTCCAGATCATTTTGAATTATAATCCTATCCTATCCACCAAAGCACTTGCAGCCCCTCCCAGCCTGGTATTGGCTGCAAACTTTGTAAGTGTACTCTCTATGCCATTGATGAAGATATTGAACAGAACCAGACCCAGAATTGATCCCTGCGGGACCCCACTCATTATGTTCTTCCAGCATGACTGTGTACCACTGAGAACTTCTCTCTCAGAATGGTTTTCTAACCAGTTTTGCACCCACCTGAGAGTAGCTCCATCTAGGTTGCATTTCCCTAGTTTGTTTATGAGAAGGTCATGCGAGATAGTATCAAAAGCTTTACTAAAGTCAAGATATACCACATCTAGCACTTCCACCCTATCCACAAGGCTAGATACCCTCTCAAAGAAAGCTGTTAGGTTGGTTTGATATGATTTGTTCTTGACAAATCCATGCTGACTGTTACTTATCACCTTATTATCTTCTAGATGTTTGCAAATTGAGTCGCTAATTATTTGCTCCATTATCTTTCTGGGTACATAAATTAAGCTGACTGGTCTGTAATTCCCTGGGTTGTCCTTATTTCCCTTTTTATAGAATGGCACTATATTTGCACTTTTCCAGTCTTCTGGAATCTCTCCCGTCTTCCATGACTTTTCAAAGATAATCGCGAATGGCTCAGATATCTCCTCAGTCATCTCCTTGAGTATTCTAGGATGCATTTCATCAGGCCCTGGTGGCTTGAAGACATCTAATTTGTCTAAGTAATTTTAGCTTGTTCTTTCCCCATTTTAGCCTCTTCTGATCCTACATCATTTTCACTGGCATTCACTATGTTAGATGTTCAATCGCCACCAACCTTCTTGGTAAAAACTGAAAAAAAATAAGTCATTAAGCACCTCTGCCATTTCCACATTTTCTGTTATAGTTTTTCCATCCTCATTGAGTAATGGGCCTACCCTGTCCTTGGTCGTCTTCTTGCTTCTAATGTATTTGTAGAATGTTTTCTTGTTATCCTTTATGTCTCTAGCTAGTTTGATCTTGTTTTGTGCCTTGGCCTTTTTAATTTTGTCCCTACATATTTGTGTTATTTGCTTACATTCATCCTTTGTAATTTGACCTAGTTTCCACTTTTTGTGGGGCTCTTTTTTTATTTTTAGATCATTGAAGATCTCCTGGTTAAGCCAGGGTGGTCTCTTGCTAGATTTCCTGTCTTTCCTACGAAGTGGGATAGTTTGCTCTTGTGCCCTTAATAATGTCTGTTTGAAAAAACGGCCAACTTATATTTGTAGTGAATAAGCTCCAGTTCTTGACATGAGCTAACTGCAAACACAACCCAATGGAAATTCTGTGGTTTGAAGGCTTAAAGGATCAGGCTCTTAATATTAAACCATAAAAATATTGGCTTTTCATTAATTAGTAAGGCTGGATAAACTGGTTAAGAAATGGTAAGAATTGACCTGAACCTTTACTGCAGAACTCCCATCAAATCCAAGTTTTGTTTTCTGTAGTTTGAAAAAATGTATCTAAAGGAAGTAAAAATACCAAAATACCTTGAGTGGCTCTCCTAGGATTGTCTTGTAGGGTCGTAATACATCTTGGAAAGAATTACAATAACAATGTGAAGGATAGTGTGGGAGTCAGGGGAATAAAAAGAAGAGGGCATTCTTAATCTGGACTGTAGCAAAAATCAGACTGACACTACTCTGCCATGGTAGCAGAGACACTGACTCTAGTTCCGTCTCAATATAACAGAGAAGCGGAACATGGCAGGGTTTACACGATCAAGGTTGTGGGACTCAGGAATGCTGTGTCGCTGGTCTGAAATAATCCATATTTGCTAAGTTTTATGGTGTTGCACAATGCATGTTAATTTCATTTGCAGAAAGGTAAGAGGGCTAAAGTCCAGACTGCTGTATGGAGTTTAGTATCTGGTTATGGGTTGCTGCTTAGTGGAAGTGGTGAGCTTGATTGTATTGCATTTTGCTTTTGTGACTTTAAATAATTGGCAACGTACTTAGAGACTGTGTATGGGCACTTCCTACTCCTAAACTAAAAAGAAATGAAAATGGGCAACTGTTCTAAATGTTTTGCAGTAGTGCGCATAGAAAACATGCCATATAATACTGTGCTATGCAAGTTACAGCACGTTGTGTGCTTGACTGATGTCTGAATTCTTGCACAGCCCCCAGCTGCTACACGTGTTGCAACTAGCTTTGGGTTCTAATGAGTTGTCATGTCTTTTTACCCACAGTTAAACTAGTGGGCATTGCATTAGAAAGAGGTCAATTTTAAACATTTTCTGTTTTGCTCCTAGCTGAGGATGTGAAACAAGCAGCCCGGGATATTTTTTATAACTATTTTTTCAACTTTTGAAGAACAGTTTCATCTAAACACTTGAATATCCAGGTGTTCTAATTAGATGTGTCAGATTCCTGCATTGTTAGTGGTGATTTGCTTAGACTCCTAGTGCCAGCAATATCTCAGTTTAATACAAAAAAATCTATAAAATGTTCAGCAAAAAAACAACCTCCCCACCCCATATATATATATATATACACACACACATAAAATATTTAAAAACCTATTTATCTAGTCTTTGAAATCCTTAAGGACAAGATGCTTTCAGAGTGCCATCCTGGTTTAACATCTGGTGTTCTTGGCTGAAGCAAAAACTTTGGATTTTGGTCATAGTTCCAAGTTAAATCTTAGCATAAATTTATGAATTTTTAACATCAAGATAAATCTACCAAAACAGAGAGAGAGAACATTTAGTAAGTGGCAGAAACTTTGTCCCCAATCCCTAGCTCGCTAGTTCCAGCCTTCCCTCAAGCAAAAGCAATTTATGTAATCTGCTCTAGAATTGTGTGGATCATTTTCAAGCTTTTTAAAATGCTTTTAAATTTTTGGAATAAAAATTGAAGTAAATTTCAAAATAAACAGACATTTTGAATGGAAAACTCAAAACTTTTCATTCTGAATATGTTGAAACAAAAAGTTTTCAGGTTTTTTTTATCTTTTGGTTTTGATTGAAACAATTAATTGATTTTTTGCCAAGAAGCTGCTTAAAGTTTTGGTCAGCCTGAATCTGCATTTTTTGGTGAAATGGTTTCAGCTGAAAATTTTCTCCCAGCTGTAGCGTGCATTTTGCCACAAAGGTGAAAAGACTGTTGGGCTACCAAGGGAAAGGAATTTGTGTCAGCTGCCCTGCGCTGAGAATGCCTTCCCACCAGCTCCTAGATGTCTAAATCTATAGCTTGTTAGCACAAATGCTCCAGCTAATCTCAACTGCCGTGGAGAGAATAAGGAGGGGAAAGTTAATCTCTCTAACCTGAGTTAGCCTCCATTCCTGGTGGATCATAGGCACCCTGCACTAGCTGTTCCTCTAGCGATATCCTGTTTGGTACCAGATCTAACTTCCAAGTGGGTCACCTCATGTAGATCATATAATAATCCAAATTAGGAATCACAGAAGATGTATGACAATGGCAAGGTCCAGAGTTGAGGGAAATGGTCACCTGACTAGGAAAAGTGCTTTTACACTTTTCATGTCCTCTGAGATCAGTTAGGAAACCTAGAGTGCTGTAAAACTGCAGCACTTGAGTAAAGGGCATTGAAATCACTCAGCAATGGGGACAGGAGTCACCCCCTCTCTGCCATTGTGATCTTTTCTCTTGACGTCTGTCTTGTTTTGATTACACCTTAGTTTTATTCAAATCCCAGCCTTCAGCAAGGCACTAGAAAAAACAAGGAAATTGTGTCATCCAGATCTCATGAAAATAAGACATCGACTGTTGTCTGCATGTTGATGACATCAAAGCCCCATA